CAAAAATGTCATTTCAAATACAATAATGCTCAAATCCAAAATGCAATATTGAAAAATTGCATAATGCTCACAATATTAAAATCGTTGCAGTGGTCTTAAGGTTAAATGCTGAAGGACTATGCACTTGAATTCAGGTGCATGTTAGAGAAACCACAAGTGGACAAATTTTTCAAAGCTCTTCTACACGACGTTCCTCGTAACCGTGCAACCTTAGCTATTGTTATATGACGGGGCACACACCAGATTCGTCTGATGCCGCCGGAGGTATTGGGAGTGTAAAGCCTAGAATAGCTTGTTCGTTCCAGACAACTCAAATTTACTATCTGAACGTTTTTTTAAGGAAAGATGGCACACGAATTCAATATATTCGGGTTCCTTATAAGGTTATAAAATGCAAAATACAATGAGTTCCGCAAAGTTTTATTGAACACAATTTGTTGAACGCTACGACAAACAAACTGGAAGTCACTTTTGTTCACGCGGTATTAAAACAACTTCACCATGAACATTGTGCACGCAGTACTTCAAGACATCGTACTCCTGGAAGTGGAGGATGCACACAGCGCAAGATCTTGATAGTTCTTTATCCAATCTTGGTACTGCTTGTTGCCACTGTTGAGGACCCACCTCATCAACTGGTGGCTTGAAAAAATGCCTTTTTTTCGGTGGCAGATTTCATTGAGTCGTAGCCGCTTCGGCAACCAGTGACAAAGAAGCGAGGCATGTCTTCTAACATTGAAAAACCGTCACACGACGCATGAGAGCTATGCAGCTAACAACGGGCACGATAATACAACAGAGCTGACAGCAAGTGAGACACAACGTCAATAGTCACCATGATATCGCAGTAAGCAGCAGTGGGAGCACAAACTGCGCGAGTGTCGTCGATCTCGCTGAGACATACAATGATAGCGATTGCCACGGAACGCACTTGCACTATATTTGCTCGCTACGAAGAAGCACCTGCTGTTTTGCTTCGCCGGCTTGGTTGGTGGCGTGCGCCTTACCACTGTGAGCCTCGTCAGACCGGTCAAAACACGACAAGCGCGCCCCCTCGTGATGGTGCATAGAAGGGTGACGCCTGCGGCGGTGCTGTTTGCAAGCTGAAAGAAAAATAACGTTTGTCCCGTTGTAACGTTGGTTAGTAACGGTGGTAGTAACGTTGGCCCCGTACATACATGCAAGACATCGACAGAACCATGCCTCTAGGAGCTTCGCGCCTAAAAAATACCATCACGATGTTCTATGCTGATTCAAGCTGAGAGTAATCGCGAACACGCAAGATGAAGCAGTAGTAGGTGGTTTGGCAGCAGTGTGGCTTCATCCTCGATAGACTAAGAATGTCTGCCTGATGGGAACATCGAGATCGCCGAGCTGTGTTTTCAAGCAGGACTTCGTAGTTGACATTATTGAGGCTTCGTATTACACTATAAGGATCGAAGTAGCGGTGAAGTAACTTTTTAAAGCAGCGCCTTTGGCGACTGCGAATCCACAGCCACACCCGATCACCGTGTTGGTAAATAACGTGACGACCACAAGAATGGTAACTCGGTGAGTCGATGCGTTTCTGTTTTTGGATCCACTCGAGTGCAAGCTTGCGGGCCATGTTGGCGAGCCGGATAAAGTCGTTCGCATCATTGATAGTGTCGGTCGTGTCAGGTAAGAGCATGGCAGCGAGCATCGTAATAAGTGACCAGTAAAAGAGCGAGAACTTGTTGGATGCACCTTCTGCTGCCGGCTTCCGGTTCTAGAAGAGTAGACGACGGCAAACCGCTTCGCCGCAAGCCTCAGATTATTCGGGATTCGCGCGTTCGGTCACCCGTTTATCTTCGTCCTGATAAACCATGGTTGGTCGTTCAGCCGCTGGCTGCTCCAACTCGAGCGTGCAAGGCAAACGCAGGTATCAGTTTCCATGCAATGCAGACAAAAACGAGGTGAGCCGCGACTGTGAAAAGAGCCACAGCAACAGGTAGCCTTTGAGGGCGGAACGTTGAATCCAGAGGGTGCGAAAACCATTTTATCACAGGTACGTGTGTATTCCACACACACACACACACAAATCTTACGCATGATTTTGCTGCAAATATTATATTGAAAAATAAAATATCGCGCAGGCGCGCCTAGCAAAGATATTGTTGGAACACGCGGGCGAAATCTACCTACCATACGAGATCAGCACCGGCCATTGCACCTGTATATAAGAAAAAAAAAACAGCGAAAGCTTCACTGAAGAGTAAGTTTAAACGAAGCACTGAACGAGTTGATTTGCGTTTATCTTGGTCAAACTGTGCGCTAGTACGGCACCCAAAGGATGAAGTGCGTTAAACAAGCGCAGGATTTCGATTATTCGGCGCCATCTATGTCTGACTGTATTGTTTATGTGCCACCGTGCCCTGCAGCTTGACCGAAATCAGCGTTCAAATAAGCATCTAACTTCAACTAAGAAATGCATGTTATAGCGTGCTAAAGGATAGAAGAAAAAAAAATCTCAACGCGCTCAATAAATGTTGCGCTTCATGCCGATGGACTGACGATGTAGGCCGAAGCAGCGATCCCAAAATGAACTCTTAGCACACTGCTGCAGTCATTACCATCCCCTGAGATCTTTAAAATGGTGACTTTTTATTTGCCGTACCGTATCATACAAGAAAAAGTGTTTTGTGTATCGACTGATCTGCTAGCCAAACTGACAGCAACCCCGAGCAGCATAAAAGCATTGCAGATCATTTTAGTCAGACAAAAATATTCCCGGACCGTTCATGGCTTTCGTAGCTTGTCATCGTCGCATTCACGGTTAGAAAAAAAAAAGAAATCACTGACATTGCACGGCGAGGGGCTTTTTTCAACGGAGCAGCACAAAAATGCGCGCGTGCCTCTGTTGACTCGTGCGGAGCGTCCAACCGGAAGCCGTTATATGCAACAGTTCCCTGCGATTGCCCATTTTAACGGTCCCCTATTGCTTCTTGGCAATGCTGTAAGCGAGCGTTACTTGTGGGAGAAAGTCCTTCCAGTTTGTTGAATCGCTGTCGACGTACATGAATGTAATGTCAGCGAGCATAGGCCTTCATTATTCTCTCCATCAGACCATTGGTTTGTGGATGGTATGTGATCATTTGGCGATTAGCTATTTCACTGAGCCTCATAACGTCTTGCATCAGTTGTGCTGTAAAGGCTGTCGCACGGTCAGTGATGACAGCTTGATTTTTGCAGTGGATGCAGAACAGTCACTATAAGCGCGTAAAATCATGCGTATCTTCTCCTGCTGTGCAGAGGATAGCCGGCAATTCACGTGCACTGTTCTGGCCAATGCAGTGTCACATTCCGCGGCAGTTGAAATCGGAGCGACAGTAGAACATGTTTCGTCATCAATGGCTTAGAAGTTCGCCATCGCTGTATTTTGCTATGTGTTGGTACTCTCCTTTGAAATTCGTGATAAAAAGAGGTGCCCTCCGACGTTTCAGTTGGACGATTCCGCGCGCGACACTTTATTGCCGAGCCAAGAGCTCGGAGAGATTAGTTTCAGCAATAACACCACTCTTTTATTGCAATCACTCCCCCCAGTTACAAACATACTGGCTTGCGGTGGAGTTACGTTGGTGTCGTCAGCAATTCGAGGTGTCGTGGTCTGCGAAGCAGAATCTTTTTGTGTGTGTGTATGATCTTCAGAAAACGTTATGAGCAGGCCTCGAAGGTCCATGATCACGGAGAAAATATATTTCGTAAATAATGTCTTGTCGGTATTGGCACAACACGACGAATGAAGCAACGTACGTTGAATTTAGAGTTATGCACTAGATCTTTCCAGCGGGGTCAGTAGGTGAACTCCTGCTGTTCACAAAGCGGGCCCATATTCACAAGATCTTGCAACCTTTCGTAATGGAACCACGAGGTCAGCACTTATCACGAAATAGTCGGCACTCGTGTGTACCCGAGCAGTTTCCGGATGGCTGTCGAGAAGAACGGAGATACGAGAAGATGCACGGTTGTCGTCGACGGCATACGTCGGCGAAAGAAAGTCGTCGCATGGTGGCAAGGAGCTCGGGGGAGTGTCTTTTAACGGTTGAAACAGCGGCCTCAGCCCCAGCGGTCGCTGTTTTTAGTCTCTTCACCACGGACACATGAACCTAGGTGATCGCCCCACAAGGACGTCCACAAAGGTCGATTCTTGGCTAGGTGATGTGGAGCGCCGTGGAGATGGTGAGCGGGATTGGCGACGGGGAACTGTTGGGGAGGCGGAAGGGTTAGTATTCTGCAGCTGAGTGTAGAACTCTGGCGAGGTTGCCATGGTGGCTTCATGGTTTTACAACCAAGGGTGCGCAGATTCATCGAGGTAAAAGTAGACAAAGCGAAGCTTTCGGTGCTCATGACATTCATTGACGCTGGCGCAACGGTTGCAGTTATCAAGCCATTCATCGACGTCATCGTACGGGTCACCATGAAATAGCCTCGGGGGTGGCGGAATCAATGTCCCTTCAGTGTGAGATCACGCGGTTGCCATTCTACTGTCAAGTTGTGGAAGGGGGCCAAATTCATGTGGTAGGCCTAGTTGACGCTTGCTACTCTATAAGTCAGGGTGTTCTTCCAACACCTCACTATTGCCGGAATCTTCCTGCTGATTGCAGTGCAGACAACACCTCCACCGGAAAATGTCATATTGTTATGAATAACACAATCTATATCCACAGGAACACTGGACGCTGAGTCAAACCTGTCCCCAGAAACACGAGCTATTTTGTTTGTTTGTTTGTTTGTTTGTATGTATCACTAGATAAATAGCTCATCGTTTACCCTTCTTCTTTCTCACAATGGCACATACACGCATTGGCATGGCCCAATCTCGTTCCATGCCCGTGGTAATGTAAATTCTGCGTGTGTCCTGGCATGTACTTACACTGTCGTACGATTCTTGTTCATAAATATCTGCGCACTATTACCATGATGCTTTCTTAGCTTCCCCAGAGCAGTCTTCAGAACTAATCGTCTGGATATGCGCAGGAAAGAGCTCCTTGTCACAGTATCAAGGATGACCGGAGAGTGGTACGGTAAGTAACGGCTAAATGTATTTTTTATTTATTTAAACTCAATTTATTCTTCTATCTTCGTGTGAGTGGTTTTCAAAACACTTGTATCATTTTCTCGTTTTAGCGGCTTCTGTACAACATTGTTCAGGGCTTTGCTATAAAACTTCGCATGTTTAGCTGGATGGCATCGTAAGTGCATATAACTTGAGAAAACTTGGAATAGCTGGGCAGATGGAACAAGCACAGAAGAGGACGCATGTAACTCGGTCGATCCTCTACATGAAAATCAACCTTTACGCCGCCGCTACTGTACACAGTGGTGCACTGTTGCTCGCGGGAACGTTTCCCGGTGCTCTTTCGTTGGGTGAACTACTCGCTTCGCGAAGATTAGTAGCTTAGAAGCAGATGATTGCAGGCAACAAAAGAGCAGAGCTCACAGTATATTCGTTGCAGCCGCCAGCTGATGGCGGCGCCAGCGAGTGGCTACAACGTTGAGTCAGTTTTATTTACTGCATACAGTTTTACAGAAAGTGGCTGGGACAAGGAAAAAAAATCTACACAGAAACCAGCCTGACAATGCCCCCCCCCTCCCCGTCCTGAATCCACTGTGGCAAATATGGGAAAATCACAGTAACTTTAAACATAAACCAAGAACCAAGAATGAAAATGTTATGCATTTAAAAATTCTACAGTTTTAAACAGCAAATATATAGGTGGACGTACCTAACAAAGCATATTTAAATAGAGGAATCAGAATTTGCAGGCACTCAAGTGTACATACGTTCCTTAGGAACACTAATTTTGAAGTCATGTAGAGTATTTGGCCGAAAATACCACAATGCCTCAAAACGGTAATTAGTCCGTGGCCTCGGGACACAATGTTGAGTGTCCGTTTAGACGCGTAGAGACATGTGGTGGCAAGTTAGCTAAACTACGTATATAAGCGCGACTTTTGATGGCATCGAACCTGAAGCAGATTTTTAAAGAGTATTCGTAGAACAGTAGTTATTTGATTATTTTATATTTATCAAAGATTTATAAAGTGTGGGCGTTAAAACGGAGGCACGCATCAAATCACAGAGGCTTTTTTGTAGGATGATAAGAATACCTAAGACAGGAAAGTAAAACAACCACCCAAAAATATCGATTTCTTAACCACTCCAACCCTTCGCGGGTCTCCAAAGAACTTATTTGCAATAAGATTACTTGTGCATTTCTCTGTCTCAATACCCCAAATAAAATTGCAATAACGCAGATGTGATGTGAACAGTGCTATAAATACCAAAAGCCTCTGTGCGACTGGCGATGCGGTACGGGATTTTCTCAATAAACCTAGCTTTTTAGAGAGCTTCTCGTAGAAAAGATTCATACAGTGTTCTTAGTTCACGTGTTCGTGAAAAACAACGCCTGAAGAGAATTTATTTCGGCTGTAGTTTTACATAGCGTTGTAGGAATATATTGATCAGTGGGGACTTGGAGTGAAAAATAACCGCCTTTCTTTAGATGCGGTTTATGTGTAAAGAATTATTAAGAGTCCAGCTGGATTATCTCCTTAGACACAGAGCGAACTTAAGGTGTTGAATTTTCGTTGAACTCTTATAACTGCTTTTTATCGAAACACAGGTGAAATGTGTTACGTAATTTCTCAATACATAATACCAGTTTACCGCAGCACGTTCTCCAAGATATGAGACTGTGGACTCTAGGGGACCTTCTTTGGAGAATAGAGAGTGGGGCGTAGTTGAGACTAGTTACCAATAATGAACATTGCATGACAAATATATTATAGGTTCCTGCAGTACTTGCAAAACGAGAATAGAACTATTATTAGTAATATTAGCGTCAAAGAGCTCGTTTCGCAGAAATGCCGGTGTTGTTGTGAATGGTTTTGAGCAAAACATCGCCATGTACATGTCCTGAGCAGCGAGAAAGATGTATATAAAATAAATATTGTGGCAAAGCCTTCGAACAGTGGGTCGTCCTCTCGAGTGACTTCTAGTGGGTCGCCCTTTTCATAAGAAGAAGAGCAGCTCGTGTAGAGAGTCGGTCTCCGCATTGACTGTCGCTGTCGTGAATCATCAACGAGTGTCCGCCAATAAACGTCTTAACAATTTGGTGGAGAGTGCTGTCCCCTTCAAACATCTTTGGTTCGCATTCGATGCCCTTCGAGCTTCGATCCCGTACCGTGCCTTCTACCATGCACCAGGACGCCGCTCAGCAAACGCTCCCTCCTACACCGACCCCATGTCCCGGTGTCCGCCGCATCCGCGACCCTCCTGTCTTCACCAGCGCGGATGGCACCGACGTCGAGGACTGGCTTGCCATGTACGAACGTGTGAGCGTCCCCAATCATTGGGATGAGGCAGCTAAACTCGGTAACCTGTTCTTCTACCTTGCGGGTGTGGCCGGAATGTGGTACAACAACCACGCATCCGATTTCCCGCCGACCGCTTTTAAGACCGCTGTCGTTGACGTGTTCGGCCGCCCTGCCTTCCGAAAACTGCAAGCCGAACAGCGTTTACGTGAACGAGCACAGCAGATTGGCCAGTCCTTCACAAGTTACATCGAGGACATCCTTGACTTGTGCAGGAAAGTCGACCTGAACATGTCAGAGGCTGACAAAATCACGAATGTTCTAAAAGGCATCGCCGACGATGCCTTCACTATGCTCCTGGCCAAGAACCCTCATACTGTGGCAATAATCATTACATTATGCCAAAGTTACGATGAGCTGCGGCGGCAGCGCTTGATGACCCGACGATCGCCACCACGTGATGCTGGTCTCTCGGCTTTGTCAGCGGATCCTGACCACACAACCTTGCTTCCCGAAATCAAGTCATTCGTGCGTGAGGAAGTTGCCCGCCAGGTCTCTTTACTGGCTTTTGCTCCGGCGCAACATCCTCAGCAGCCATCAAGTACACTTGTACCTCCGCTCCGCCGAGCCATTCAGCAGGAAATCGCGCAGGTCGTTCCAGAATACCACCAGCCACCTTCTGTATCTGCGCCACTCAGCTACGCCCAAGTTGTAGCCAGGCCGCCCCCATCGATTTCTGTGGATTACCCTGTAAGTTACACCGAAACCACCGTGAGGCCTCAGGCCTTCGGAGAAACTGTGTCGCCTACATACGCCGACGTCACCCACGTGCCCCGAGTACCACCCACCATGCACTCATATCAGCAGCCGGCTCGCCCAACGCGTTCTGCGACATGGATGGGACCCGCGAACAGATGGCGCACTGCGGACAATCGCCCCATCTGCTTTGCTTGTGGTCGCGTCGGTCATGTAACACGCTATTGCAATCGTGTGCAGCAACCGCAGGTCGCCTCGAACTTTCCCAGCCAATCAAGCCGCTCTTATGACCAACCGCCACCTATGTCACCGTCGTCCCACCCCGCTCCGTCTACCCGCCGTTCACCATCTCCGCGACGTCGCTCACTGTTGCCGATGCGGCCACGTCCACTCGAGAGCGACCAGGAAAACTAGTCGTCGCAGTCCACGAGGCAAGGGCTGCGACGCTGTCGAACTGCGGAAGCCCTCAGGAAAGCCCATCGAACGTGATAGACGTACTTGTGGATGGCGTTCGTGCATCTGCCCTTGTAGATACTGGAGCCGCCGTATCCGTCATGGACGCAAAACTTAGCCGATTACTGCGCAAAGTGACCTCGCCACTCTCCGGGCTCTCCCTCCGTACAGCCAGCGCCCAAAGCATTAACCCTACGGCGATGTGCACAGCCCGCCTTATGATTCAGGACGTGATGTATGTGGTCGAATTCATCGTAATTCCTTCATGCTCTCACGACGTCATCCTAGGATGGGATTTTCTCTCCCGCCATGACGCCGTCATTCATTGCGCACCAGCAGAAATAGAACTCACCCAATTCTCTTCTTTGACGCCGGCCGACAGTCCATCTGCCGCAAGCAAGTTACTCGTCAGAGATGACACCCAAGTGTCTGCAAACTCGTCCACGACGGTGTCGGTCTACTGCGCAATCCTTTCTAACACCGCTGCACTCTTCTCGCCATCTCATCGTGTTTTCATCAGAAAAGGCTTGCTGGTTCCTTTCGCGACCGTGCAACTCACTCACGGCAGCACCACTATTTTTGTAGTGAACTCATCCCCGTACACCGTTACGTTGGTGCGAGGCGAATGTCTCGGCAGCGTGGAACCCATCGAAGACGAACAAGTTATGGAACAAGTTATAGATCAACCCGATGACATGCACTGCTCAAGTTCCAGTACGCTTAGTGCTGTTTCGACATCTGCTTCATCATCCGAGGATGTATTCGGTCCCTCCGTTCCCGACAACCTTACGCCAGGCCAGCGTTCCCAGCTTCTGGGCCTGTTGGAAGAATTCCGGTCTTCTTTTGATGTCGCCTAACCTTCTCTTGACCGCACATCCACCATTACGCATCCCATCGACACAGGCACACAGCCACCACTGAGACAGCGTCCATATCGCGTATCTCTCACAGAACGCCGTGTAATCAACGAGCAAGTCGACGACATGCTTCGCCGCGATGTTATTCGCCCCTCTAGCAGCCCCTGGGCATCTCCTGTCGTTCTCGTCACGAAGAACGACGGTTCTGTGCGGTTCTGTGTGGACTACCGACGCCTCAACAAGATCACTCGTAAGGACGTGTACCCACTACCGCGGGTAGATGACGCTATTGACAGCCTGCAAGGAGCAGAATTTTTTTCATCCCTCGATTTGCGCTCAGGGTACTGGCAAGTACCTATGGCTGAGGACGCTCGACCGAAGACCGCTTTTGTCACCCCCGACGGCTTGTACGAATTCAACGTCATGCCGTTTGGGCTGTGCAACGCGCCCGCCATCTTTGAGCGCATGATGGATACTGTTCTGCGTGACCTGAAATGGCACACGTGCCTGTGCTACCTCGATGACGTCATCGTTTTCGCTCCGGACTTCTCGACGCATCTTCAGCGCCTACGGCATGTTTTAACGCGTCTGAGTGACGCCAGTCTGCAACTGAACCTTAAGAAGTGCAAATTTGCAGCTCGGCAGCTGACAATACTCGGCTACGTCGTGTCCAAGGACGGAATTCTCCCTTATCCAGCTAAGCTTCGGGCCGTGTCCGAGTTCCCCAAGCCGACATCCGTCAAGGAACTGCGCAGTTTCGTAGGGCTGTGTTCCTACTTTCGGCGCTTCATTCGAAACTTCGCGACTATCATATCGCCGCTGACGAAGCTCCTTGGAAGTAACGGGCCTCTCCATTCGTGGTCATCACAGTGTGATGACGCTTTCACAACGCTCCGTCGTTTGTTGACGTCGCCTCCCATACTCCGCCACTACGACCCTACGGCCCCTACAGAGGTACACACGGATGCCAGTGGGGTCGGCCTTGGCGCTGTCCTTGCGCAGCGCAAACCAGGGTTCCCGGAATATGTCGTGGCGTATGCAAGCAGTACGCTTACTAAGGCCGAGACTAATTACAGCGTCACCGAGAAGGAATGTTTGGCAATCGTCTGGGCCCTTACGAAGTTCCGACCTTATTTCTATGGTCGCCCATTTGATGTCGTCACCGACCATCACGCACTATGCTGGTTGTCGTCATTGAAAGATCCCTCAGGCCGTCTCGCCCGGTGGGCACTTCGCCTGCATGACTATGATATCCGCGTGCTGTACCGCAATGGAAGGCAACATGCTGACGCCGACGCCCTGTCACGCTCTCCCTTGCCTGACGACAACGCCCACAACTCCGCGTCTCACCTTGCCATTTCTTCCATTAGCATTCATACCATTGATACTGAACAGCGCAAGGATCAATGGATCGCCTCACTGATCGACTTGCTGGCTGATCCATCTACTCCATCCACTCGCGCGTTGCGTCGTCAAGCCCACCATTTCGCCATTCGCGACGACCTCCTCCACAGGCGCAATTACAACGGTGACGGCCGCCAGTGGCTACTAGTCATACCTCGCAGTATACGCTCTGACATATGCGAGTTCTTTCATTCCGATCCGCAATGTGCGCACTCCGGGGTATCGAAGACTTACCACCGCATTCGCCAACGGTACTTTTGGCGCGGCATGTACCGCTACGTGCAGAAATGCGTTCGCTCCTGCATAGATTGTCAGCGCCGAAAAGCTTCAACAAACCTATCACCGGCAGGTCTGCAACCTCTACCTTGCCCTGCCAGGCCCTTTGGGCGCGTTGGCATCGATTTGTATGGGCCACTTCCACTGACGTCGGCTGGTAACCGCTGGACCATTGTCGCTGTGGACCACCTCACGCGATACGCCGAAACGGCCGCTCTCCCCGCGGCTACAGCGAGCGATGTGGCCTCCTTTCTGCTCCAACGATTCATTTTGCGACACGGTCCACCCCAGGAACTGCTCAGTGACCGAGGCCGCGTCTTCCTGTCTGAAGTCGTTCAAGCCATTCTTAAAGAGTGCAACATTGTTCACCGCAAAACTGCTGCTTACCACCCGCAGACGAATGGCCTCACCGAACGCTTCAACCGTACGCTCGGCGACATGCTCTCCAAGTACGTCGCCGCCGATCACACAAATTGGGATTCCATTCTACCCTTCGTCACTTACGCATATAATACCGCCCCTCAGAGCACTACTGGCTTTTCACCTTTCTTTTTATTATATGGAAGGCACCCGTCGCACACCATCGACACGATACTTCCGTACAGGCCAGATCCGTCTGAGTGGACGCCTATTTCTGCTGCAGCCAAGCTTGCTGAAGAGTGTCGAGAGCTTGCAAAGACCTTTACTGCGCACGATCAAGAGCGGCAAAAAAGCATTCGCGCTGACGCCAGCACTACTGCGCTCACGTTCCTCCCTGGAGCGCTCGTTTGGCTCTCGATTCCTACCACTGCAACTGGCCTATCTTCAAAACTATTGCCCAAATACGAAGGCCCCTACCGTGTCGTCAAACGCACTTCTGTCAACTACTTGATTGAACCAATCGAACCATCTTCGGACATGCGCCATCGAGGACGCGACATTGTTAACGTGGAGCGTCTCAAGGCCTACCATGACCCGCTCATTGTAACCACCTGTTAGGTCACCAGGCGGCTCCCTTTTCGTACCCGGGGTAGTTGTGGCAAAGCCTTCGAACAGTGGGTCGTCCTCTCGAGTGCCTTCTAGTGGGTCGCCCTTTTCATAAGAAGAAGAGCAGCTCGTGCAGAGAGTCGGTCCCCGCATTGACTGTCGCTGTCGTGAATCATCAACGAGTGTCCGCCAATAAACGTCTTAACAATATTACAATTTCCGGACCCGGGTGAGGATCAAACCCGGGCCGTTTGCGTGACAAGCAGCTGTTTTACCACATGACCAAGCCTCTGCTTGGTTATACAGTGAAAAGAAATTTCTCTGCTTGGAAATGCAGAAGAAGAAACCTTCATGGTTTATAAACATACACGTCTTGTATACAGGCTTAGCACTACCGCATATTGCGTGGTACAAGCGTAGAGTCACGGCCCCGTCTGTGTATAGCACGCGAGGAGCCGGTTTTCGCTCTGAGGGGTGAAACCTTGAGGCAGTATCGGGCTCTGACGAGCTCGGCTTGACAACTAGGCCACGCATTCTCCTGTTACACCTCTTGAGAGCCCGAAACGCTCTCAAGGTTTTGACCCGCAGAGCAAAAACCAGCAACTCGCGCTCTACACAGACGTGGCTGTACATTGGCGTCGGACGTCATCAGGGGCCACGACGGAGAAATAGGCGCACCTGTTCTGGGAGTGAAGCATAGAAGAACGAACAGGAAAAAGAGAGGGGTCTGGCCAGTTCATTATGATGATCATTCCGGTTTCGAACAAACAATTTACGGTTAGCATAAAGTGATCCGCTGGTGAAAAAACGACCACTGGTGAGGGTTAACACACGACAAGCGCTTATTCGGTCTTCATTTCGTGGCGTGTTCGTTTTCCAAGCAGATCGTTTCATGTTCAGTAAAATCTGGAAAAAAATATCATCGCCATAAACGAGTTTGTTGCCCAGAAACCTGGGAGATCCCAGTGCACACAATTTCCACTGAAAAGAATGAAAGCAACAGTTCAGCGAGTAGCTGCTTAGTGACGGTGGTGAGCCGAACTTCCCGAGTACGTACAACAAAAGACTATATATATATATATATATATATATATATATATATATATATATATATATATATATATATATATATATATATATATATATATATATATATATATATATATATATATATATATAAACGGGAAAGACAGCAGTGACGAAAAGACCCCGAAGTGATGGAAGGCCTAGGCAAATGATGACGGGCCCGTAGGTCAATGAATTGAATTGAATCGAATTGAATTTTATGTACATAAAAATGGTTTACAATATACAACAGTGTAAAAATGCATGTTAATCCCTAGCCAAACGCTCGTTGGGATTCGTTCAAAAAGTTATCTAGAAGAAGGCTTGTCATTTACGCAGAAAAATAAATTACAAACACAAACATTTTACTAAATTTACAACACATGATAAAAGTTATAACACTATGTCTTTACTGTCTGAGATGGCTAAGCCCTGAGCGTTAGCGCGTGTTTCTGCCTCTCGAGTTTGGACAGCCATGTCGGTTCTGTGTGTGACTTTCGTTTCACTCAACCCTCTCTGCGTTGAGAGTCAACGTGGAAACAACCCAGGATAACCCAAGCTAAAGCCTATAGCAGTGACCTTGAAGCAACCTAAAACAAAAAAATCATCATCTGTATCGGGCCTAGAAACAACATAGAAGCAATCAGATTAGTCTTTAAAATTGTCCAACTTCGCTTTTGAAAGCCATGCGTGCCTCATTGCTAGTTCCAGCAATTTTTTTTTTTGCGCTGTGTTTCCTGTAGTACAGCATACAACGAGTATTAACCCAACGCGTCCCTCTTCATATTATATTGCATTCATTTTCTTACAGATCACATTCTATATTAGCTTTATATTACCACTTTTATATCATTAAAAAAGAAGATTAGTGTCATTTCCGTGGTTGTGGGTTGAAAATCAGTCAGTCATTTTTCAACAATTAAGTAACAATCGGCGCTTACTCGAGTTATGGCTCTTATATGACATCTTCTTTGATGTAACCAATCTGCAATAACTAAAGGCATTAGAAGCCAAGCAAAGGACGTTTGGGCATGTGTTGTTAATAATCATTCTCATGAAAACAATAAAACCATATTTGCAAAGCGAGACCATGAGGCAACTGTGGCAACTTTTTTGGAAACTTTGTACCACCCAGATTGGGCACCTGCGCCGCATATGCGCTCATGTACCTTTCCTACAGAGTACACGTTTGTGTTTCTATTAATAAAGACTGGCAATTTCCTAATATCATGGCCCCTCATGAAGTTTTTATTTTCCTAGGACTGGCTTCTCCCCGATCCATATGTTTTGGAAACGCTTCAGTGGGGATTATTCATGATGATGGGGCTACTTTCAGCGGTGTACGCCTCACAGCAGTCCAAGTAGCAATTCTGTAAGTAACTAGAAGCATGATGCTTTTTTAAGCACGCAGCACTTTAAAGGCGCGCGTGGTCGTATGCTTTCACGTTATGTAGTTTGGTGTCATGGAGTGAAAAAAATGTGTAAAAAGACCCATATATGGCCTTGCTATCTTCAAAATACTATAGCAAGTGGGCAGAAAAGAAAAGTAAGGGTAAAGAGGAGGTAAGGGAGGAAGCATGTGGTTAAAGCGCACCCTAGACATAAATGAAACCACGTAGGCAAAACCTTGTATAGAATTAGCATGTAAAGCATGACATAACATAGCTGTTCTAAAGAAGAAAGTGGAGTTGGGGAAAAGTATAGCCAAGTAATGAAAGGCTTTATTAGTTAAAGTCATGTATAGCCCAGCCATGTAGGTCCTAAACATGTGTATTATAATGCATCGAGGCGTCGGAAAAAGAAGGTGAAAAAGCATGAAATAAGGTGACGAGTAGAACTGGCACAGCCCTATGTATATATTGTAGAGCAAGTGGTTGTAAGCGTATGTGACGGTGAGGGGGAGAGCAGCGTAAAGCGTAGTCTTACCATGCTTTACCCATACGTTCCTAATTATTTACATGCCTGGCTAGTTATCTCGCGTAGAACACCACGTCCACTCTAGTGACACTTGGCATGATCTTGTCTGCGCATTCACAGTCAGAATTTTTTTCGGGATGGGGGAGGAGTCCAACACTCATTGGCTACGCCTCTGATTCGCACATAAGTTTCAGAGTCGAGATCTTTAGGTCGAGGTTCACACCATGGGATTAAAAATGATCACTGTTCATCATAACCTTCATTGCCTTGTATAACATAGTTCAAGAAGATAGTAAGAAAGAGCTGTGAGGGTGAGGCAACATGTGAGGGTTACGATGAGAGGAGGCTGAGAGATGAAGTATAAAGAGAGAGAGATAGTTGGAAAGAAACAGAAACAGAAAAACAGATGCAAAAAAGGGAATAAACATAGAAAAGATAGAAGGTTGAAGGTTGGCTACACCGAGAGATATGACGACACAAAAACAGAAAGAAAGATAAAGATAATAAAAACAGAGAAAAGGGAACAGAGAAAACACAGAAATAAATAGAGAGAAAGAGTAGACAGAAAGCAACACACCAGGAAAATTAAAAAAAAGAGAGCAAACACTTTTTCATTTGAAGAAATGCTTCGTGAAACCTATATAAACTAAAAGCAACAAAACAGTTCATTTTCTTTCACAGCATAGGAGCCAAAAAAGATAATGGAAAGTGGGGCGAATGCCCTATAAATGAAGAGCCATACCTAACATCCAACTGGAGCGGCGGCCGCATTCCACGCCTGTCGGAATGCAGTATGGGATCAGTTCGAGACTTCTATTATCGTGTCAAGTAAGTTGGCCAAGCCATAAGCCTTGTGATAGGCGATGAGCATTGCCGTAATATTATGCATATTTGGGCTGATAATGTGATTCAGTCAGATATTTGTTAAGAGGTGCGAGTTTTTCATAGAAGCGCCGGCTATCCTTATGCTTTGAATGGCAATAAAACTATATATATTTTTAGAACAACGCAATAGAAGAGTGACAGTACTCACGAAAATGACTGTGTGAGTAATTGCCGACAGGGACGCACAAAAAGCAAGTGCGCAATGTAAGTCCACATTCAAGACAGCACCATAGGGCAGTCTTTGTAAAAAGGACATTTGAAGTTATCCCGGATCTCCAGAACATTTTATAAACTATAAGGAAGGATATGGAAAGGCGACGGTGTAAGTGGAATAACGAAAAGTCTCCGAACAAGGTAGGATACGGCGAACAATAAAAGCTTGCAATGATGAAAATTTAATAAGCATGAAGTGTCTCTAGCGGACGTTTAGATAAAACAGACCTGTCTTCTCCAAGGCTCTAATATCTTTCCCTAGCGCACGCGTGTACATACTTCGTACTATAAACTCCAACTAAAGCTAATGATCAGGATCGGTCAACTGGGAGGAGAAGAGTGGAAGTGGAGGAGAACGAGGTGCTATAGTGTCAAATTCGGTGGGTTTGAATTGAGGAATCGCCATGATTTAAAATTTTTGAGTAACTAATCTAATAACATCCCATTAGTTTGGGTACGTTAAAGAAATAAATATTCGAAATATTGAATATTTGCCGATAAGTTTCCCAACAATCAGCCACGACAAAAAATACAAGCGTGATGTTGGTAATTTTTCTTGTTTCATGATCGAAATGTCCTGATGCATGCAGCCCGTGGGGACGGTGAACATTATATTGATTAGAAATTGAAGTCGTGTTTGCTCAAAACTCTAGTTACGCCGGAGCGACAGTGTCGTGATCCACTATCATGACCATGGAATTCATGATGATGCTAAGTCATGAAAAATGCGTAATAGTTAAGAATTAGGTTCAGTTAAATGCTGCACACAAAGTACGACCTTGAACAATGTGGTCATTGAGAAATTTCAGCTTGTACTTACAAATATTTCTAACGATTCTGTTTAACTATATACGGACTTCCCGCTGTTGAAATATTCGTGGTGAAATCCTGTTGCAAAGGTTCTGCATCGGCACACACGTTAGGTGCATTTGCGCCCAGTCAAGTGAAAACTTACGTTAAAGTTCATTCAAAGACGTTGTTGTCGATATTGACAATGCGTGATTTTAGATACAGTCTTAAGCTTAACTGTCAAACTAGATAAAATGGAAGTACTTCCTAAAGGTTGCCAACTGCACGGTGTCAACACCGGTTGGCAGCAAGAAGTGAGTTCATGCGTTTTACATTAACTTCTAATTCTTCCAGCGATGGTGAACACAGTCTTTGCTGGAATGACGAACCCGAGCCCGCTCTCCAAAATAATACTGGTTTCCCCGTGGATTTCTACAAGGTGTTTGACTGTGATCAATGCCATGTTGCAGAACACATCAAGAATAACACTGGCAATCGAATAAATTGCTCGGTAAAAGCATTTTACTACCATTCTTCTTACATTGTCTGTAACAGGCAATGCCTGCAGAGATTTTCATGATCATTTTCTTAATGCCACAGGCATCATGCTTACATACCTGACTACTTCAGAGACTCAAAAAAGAGAGCCGTTAATTATAGTTGATTGCGTTTCAGAGCGAACAGTTCTCTTGAAAACCCTCATTGTGCACCTGAAGCTGTCCAAGTTTTGATATACTTTTTTATATTTATTGTGTTCATTTGCTCGCACATAATGCCACATTTCTCACAGAAAACATATTCTCACCCTGTAAATAAATCAACCTATCCTTTAATTCAACCGTACCCATATTCTCATCATAAACGTTTCTTTATGACTTTGGCAAATTAACACTCGTCAGAATGGGAGCACTTTCCTCGTCCCCAGATAAATAAACACGTATCAAATTCAACAGCAGCGTACATAAAAATATTCCTCATCCCCCTAATAAATGATTGATTTCGATTTAATACGTCCCAAAACCACCATATGCTTGTGACAGACGCCGTAGTAGAGGCTCCGGAAATTTCGAACACCTTGGGTTCTTTGACGTGCACCAAAATATGAGCACTTGGGCGCACAGAATTTTCGTCTTCATTAAAAATTGAGCCACCACAGTCGAGATTTGATCCCGCTACCTGAGGGTCAGCAGCCGAGTACCTTAGCCACTGGACCACCGCGGCGGGATGATCCCCCATACAGGAATCGGTATAACACGGAACATGTCTTGACAGAGGTACTTGATCGTTTATTCTACATTGTTTTAGCAATAGCAACAAATTTCAGTCACGTTAAAAACGGCATAAAGCTCTAAGCTTGCAGCGCACACCTCAAAGAGAAAGCACGCACAAGTTTAGCATATACAGGACGCACAAACACTAACAACTCTCACAGCTCGACATTTAAAGCACGCTACTCCAACAGATAGAAAGACGCACGAAACGAGCGCTTAAGTATGCACAGAACAAGTGCGAACAACTGCCACCTGCGCTGTGTGTCAGCAGCGTGCTCCTGTCGCAAACGCGGTCGCGGCAGCACAGAAAGTGAGCTTCGTCTGCTCCCGAATAACAAGTCTGACAAGAGCGCGCAAAAAGACCACGCTCCGTGGCGACAGAGCTTCGTGGATGCGACAACCTTTAGAGCGCGCCCAACGCGATCCCGTCGCTCCATCTTGCAACTCATAACAAACAACCAGCTAAAGTTTCGAAGCTCCGATCACCACCTAGCTGTGTATGGTGTGTATAAGAGGCTTGTAGTTAGCACTCCCGTCACCGTGCACTTTGTTGCGTACTGGTTAGCGCCGCGTGCTGTGAATCCAAAGGTTACTGGGGCTATTCCACAGGACAAATGCTTCGCTTCTTATTTCTTCTCTCCAATCTGTTGGCATATATTTTACGACGTCATATCCGTGAGCCAGTCACTCTACCATCACGTTATTTTGTAATCTCCCCGCTTTCTTGTGTTTGCGATAGGCTCCAAGAGGGAACCGCCACTGATATGACGAGGGGCTATGCTCCGTCACTGTTCCGGTGACAGAACAGTGACGATCGTTCAGCAACCATGGGAATGATGGATAGTACACACGTTTGCCTAGTCTTCGTACTTGCGAGTGGCGAATCATACTTGCAGCTTCGTTTATTGCTGTGTTTCGGTTTTGTTTTTGAAGAAAGATTCGACGTTTTTGCACTTCGTGACCCGATTTGGAAAAGTAAGTCTAAAGAATTAAAGGATAGTGAAGCGCATCCGCTGAACCTTTGCTGATTTAGATTTTGTGAGAGAACGGCTCCAAGCCACACGAACACACAAGGAGCCAAAGCAGGTCAGAAGTACGAAAATTAGACGAATGTGTGTACTACCCATCGTTCCCAAGCTCACTGAAGCGCCATGCGTTTTAGCTCCCATAGACACAACGCTAGAGTTCCCTCTAGTGTATAATAGGAAATTATATGGTGCGCTTTGCCGATGACATTGCATTGCTGAGTAATTCAGGGGACGAATTGCAATTTACGGAGGTATACAAGGAGAGCAGAAAGGTGGGTCTTAAAATTAATCTGCAAAAAGCGAAAGTAATGTACAACAACCTCGGAAAAGACCAGCGCTTCGAGATAGGTAATAGTGCACTTCGAGTTGTAAAAGACTATGAATACTTAGGACAGGTAATAACAGCGGAGCCAAACCACGACATTGAAGTAACTAGAAGAATAAGAATGGGGTGGAACACATTTGGCAAGCACTATCAAATTATGACAGGTACATCGCCACTATCCCTCAAGAGGAAGGCATATAACAGCTGTACCTTGCCGGTACCTAGCTACGGAGCAGAAACCTGGAGACTTGCAAAGAGGTTTCAGCTTAAGTTGAGGATGACGCAGCAAGCAATGGAAAAAAAATGATAGAAATAACTTTAAGAGACAAGAAGAGAGCAGAGTGGATTAGGGAACAAACGGAGGTTCAGGATATCATAGCTGAAATCAAGAAGAGAAAATGGACATGGGCCGGGCATGTAACGCGTAGACGGGATAATCACTGGTCATTAAGGGTAACTGACTGGATTCCCAGAGAAGGCAAGCGGGTTAGGGGGAGACAGAAGGTTAGGTGGGCAGATGAGATTACGAAGTTTGCGGGTATAAATTGGCAGCAGCAAGCACAGGACCGGGTAAACTGGCGGAACATGGGAGAGGCCTTTGTCCTGCAGTGGACGTAGTCAGGCTGGTGCTGATGATGATGATGATGATGATGGTGCGCTGGGCATGCGACGCTACGTTAGGAAAATGCGAGCGCCGATCACTTACCTCCATAGTAGAGATCGGTGGCTCCGATGCTAGACCCAACCGACACGACCAGCGTCCGTTGGCGCGCCCATAGTTGACACCGTTCCAAGGCACGGGTCACTTGGGATTTTGCGTCGAATATGTCAATTTTCGCAGAGTAGGGTGGAAATTTGCAAGACGCTGCAACAAAACTTTGCAATAATAATAATAATAATAATAATAATAATAATAATAATAATAATAATAATAATGTTATTAAGTTCTTTTATACTATAATAATAACGATTATATTAATTGTTGGGGGTTAAAGTCCTAAAACATTTGCTACCCTTGATACGGAGCGTCTTTGTATGATGGTCGAGCGTATGTATGAAGGATTAACAGTTTACCAGATTTAACTTCCAGAGCAAGCTTCTTCATGATCATTTACTTCATGCATATGGCCCAAGAACAAATTCTAAAATCATTTCCCGTGACAAGAACCACTGCCATGACGACGACAGGAAGGGACGTTTTATCGCTGTGTCAATGACTCCTAAAATTGTTTAGCACGCTTTGCATGCAGCGTACGCAACTTCTGCGCCCCCCCCCCCCCTCTTCAAAAGTGTCTACTAGTGAGTTTCAGTACTGCGTATGTAAGACCGCTGACTACGCATAATGCCCGCGCGCAACTTCTGCTCATGCACACTATGCGAAACTCAGATTTCTTATGTACGCAACGCCATTACGGGCGCTACATATAGGGAGCACTGAAACACGCTATTGAATCAGAAACTTGCCGACTCTCACACTATTCTAACGTAGACATAGGCCCGTCACGGAGGTATAGTGGCTAAGCCACTCGGCTGCTGACCGGCAGGTCGTGGGATGGAATCCTGGTCACAGCGGCAGCATTTTCGATCAAGGCGAAAAAGCCTGAGACCCACCCGTATACTTCGATTTATATGCACGGTAAAGAACCCCAGGTGGTGCATAATATTTAGCTCGCGTTTTCTCGGGAGGCCCGACTATCGATCGGCAGCGTTTTCTGACCACACTTTCAAAGGGCTACAGGGCCCTTTGAAGTACTAATACACCTGAAATCATGTAATGTAAAATTAGGTTTACATTCTATTTCTTTCTAATAAAAAAATTCCAATTGCAGATAATAGATTGGTGTGATAGGTTATGAAATGGGAAAAGGCAATGAATATCTCATGATACTCTAGTCCTCTCGACTGACATTACACTTCCCGGATTAAGTGCCCATATTAGGTGCAACATTATTGTCACTTACTTTAGCAGCTCGGCGAGAATCTTACAAAGCCATTATTTTCTTTGATTATACAAGCACCCCGCCACGTGATTTAGTAAACAAGGTATACACTCGGCTGTTGTCCCGCAGGTCACAGCATCTTATCCCGGCTGCTAAGGATCCATTTTGGATGGAGGTGGAAACGCTGTAGGTCACTGTGCTCAGATTTGGGTGCACGCAAAAAACTCCAGGTGGTCGGAATTGCCGGAGCCCTCCACTACGGCATCTTTCATAATCACATGTTGGTTTTCAAATTAAATTTTTTTTCAAATTTTCAAAATTTGTTTTATTGGTTTCTTGTTCAAGACACAAGAAACAAAAGGATGTTGGGGCTAAAGGCATATAGCTTGACAGAGGACCCAACACCCTTGTACACAGTTCGTACATTAAAAAAATAAAAATAAAAAACAGCTTTCGCGGCATCCAGACCTTCATGAACAAAAAAGCAACAGAGCAAAGAAGAGCTGACAAAAATATCATGTTACATTGAATCTGACTGATTATACAAATCTTGCAACATACTTACTACATAACATACTTAAATAACAATCACTCAGGAAGGAATCAGACTAGAACATTAGAGACATGTGATACATACCTTTATAATTTATAGTTAATAAAATACATGCAGTACAAGAGTTCCTTTGCCCGACTACTACCATTGGTAACATCAATATTTTTTAGGATCCATCAAAAAGTTTGTTTTCCTGCATTAGCACTTCTTTAACTTGTACTTTAAATGCTTTTTCTGTACAGTCAAAATTAAGCTTATGTTCTAATTTGTTTATTGTGCAAGTTGTTTGATGGGTAAAAGTTTGTTTACCATAACTTGTTCTTGTTCGTTGTGGACAGCGTAAGATTTGGCGGATCGGATAAGTGTGTTGTCTAGCTCCTTCGTTGGGCTCATA